CGCTCCGGGCGTCTTTAGCCAGGGCGGGTTAAAAGTAGTCCCGGGCCGGAGGCGCGAGCGCGCGAGCGGGTGTTCAAGTGGTCCGGGCCGGCGCGGCGCCCGAAGCCGGCCTTGACGTACCCAGGGGCTTTCAGGACGGTCCGGTTAAAGCTCTTAATCAGGGAGCGTAGTCCTCCGGCCCGTCTACACCGGCGCGGGCCAGCCCGGCGCGAAGGGCTCCCCGCGAAAGCGTGTAACGCCGGGTCACGCCCCGGGTGCCCGTTTGCCAGGGTACAGTTGGGTGTCCGGACCTTTGACCGGGCTGGTGCTCCGGAGAGGGAGAGTTGTCCGGTGACACGCCCGGGCAGTAGCGCGAGGGCGGCCGGCGGGTGAGAAGTGTCAGCAAGAGGCCGGAACATCGCGCGATGCTCCCGGAGACCGTTAACAGGGCGCGGAGTGAACCTGAGAACCTCCTGACCGGGAACAAAGTCCGGCCGTGATGGAGGCGCGGTGCATCTCCGACGCCCTGCGGAGATGTTGCCGCTCGCGCGCTCCGGCCGGACCACAGTCCTAGCCGGATAGACAGGGCCGTATGTATCCCACGCCGGTGACTATGGCAATAGAGCAAAACGACCAAGTCCCACTTTTCCAGGCCCAATGACGGAAAAATCCCGCCCGTTTCCTATGTTGAGGTGGCCCAGTTTCTATTTTCCCATAGAAAACGATCCCCCCCACCGTCATTTCCAGTACCAGGAGCCCAGTCCGGCAGAAGACGACCCGAGAAGCGTCCGGTGAGTATGTGTAGGCAAGAAGCTCATGCGCTTCTCTACAGGTGGCATCGCGGCGAGATTGACGGCGGCGGAGAGGGGTACCTGGGCGGCTTGTACTCTATGAGCTCCCGGACCCCTCGACGCCCGGTTTTCTCGATCCTGCGCGGTCGTCCACCAAACACCCTTAGTTCCATGTCGGATAGAGCCTTCCACGTATGGTTAAGGGCATCATCGGAGAACCCGGTGGGCCCTTCAATCCACGGCGGGCTCGAGCACCTGCCGCCGCCTGCCCTTCCCTCCATTCCGGAGAAGCGGGTCTCGCGGCGGGTGTCGGAATCCCGGAGTCCCTCGCGGGCTCCGGTTCCGGTTGGGGTCTGTCGATAGCGTATATTAAAGTTCCCACTGAGGGGCGGGGTGATACCCAATCCTCACCGGGCCGTCGTCCCGGCCGGTGTCCGAAGCCTTGTCGAGGCGGGTGGGCTGAGTACAGCTCCGGCTGGAAGCCAATTCGGACCGCCGAACTACGTCCGTGATGTCGCCCCTCGCGGATCCTTTACCCCTATTCCTATCTCTCGCGTAACCAATAGGGTTAGCAGCCCTTGGCTACACACAACTATATAGACTGGAGTTCGCGACTACTATTCAGAACTGAGCTTGAATGCTATTATACATTTGACCTCTACATTTTATCTTCCTACCGCGAATACTTCTAGTAGTTAACAGTACATATCACGCCAAGCTGCAAACACCCGAATAATCGCCTGCGAGCACTTCTTCTTACATTTCAAGCTCTGTCAGTCAGCAACCGCCCGTTATGACTGAAAGGACTAGAAACTCGCGTGCTTCAACCCCTGCGAACCCTGCTGCAGGCACTCCGGAGCAGCAACCCGAACCATGGATAACCTCTGTGCAAGAAGTCCCAGAGCACTTACCCACCACTCGCGGGACACCATTCTTTGCATCTGTGACAGAGGAACCCTCCGAACCCACAAACAAACCAATCTCAGTGAAGAACATCCTTGAGCACCTCCCGCGGGATCCAGCTATCTTTCTACAAGGAATGCTTGCTGCCCGCAAACACCCTCGAACCGAGTCCCTAGACATGACCTCCAGGGACACCCATGAACCGAAAAGAAACTTCCTTAAGCCGCGACCACTTAAGGCCACTTACAGAACCACAACCTATAAAAGCTTTTGTGAGTTTGCATTTGAAATTGACTCGCAACCCCGGCTGTGTGACATGGAAGATGAAGAAGCTGTCACCTACGCTATGACAGGCCTCTACTACACTGAAGCCAAGGACTGGCTGGACCACCTAGGGAATGATCATGAGAGATCCCGCTGGCCTGTTCTCAAGGCCTATCTAGAGAACAAGTGCCGCCAGAAATGCACAGACACCAAGGGAGCCGGATACCAGGGCGCGCGCACTTGCGGCAGGGCCTTGGGGGCTGGCCACCTGCGCGTGTAACCAGATACCCCTCGCGAAGCTGTGTCCGCTTCCCCAGTTGTGCTGGAGTATCCAGCCCGGAAACAATTGGGACGCGGAGAGGGGCCTCATCTGCCCAGCCCAACTCGCGTCGCGAATTCATGGCATTTGCATTGCCTTGATTACCCGGATTTTGCGGGTCCCTGGGGACCCATCTCCCATTGATGATGGGATTATTATTATTATTATCATTCTTCCATTATACTCATATGCAAGCGGAGCTTATGATGAGTCCTTGCGTGATGTTAAATACAGGCCAAGTGTTGGTTATACAGGAGGAAATACAGGTGTTGAGACCACGCCAAGAGAACAAGAACATAGAAAATACAAAGGAGTGACAATTAAATACATGCGATAATAACTTCCCATCCCAGGAACATAGAGCAATTTTGTTGAAGCGATTTGTACACCTCTGTATTTATTAGGAACCTGAGGTGCTTGAGTTCCGGATTTAATGTATCCCCTGCGGGTTTCGAACCCACACGCCTTGGTTTCCCACGCCAAGGCGCTACCAGGTGGCCGCATTAACCATTCGGCCACCGGGGCATTGATGATGGGATTGGGGAAATGTGCCGCGGCGCGAGGACTGTTGGTAGGGAACCTAGGTATATTTGCATATGCCTGGTCGGAGATCGTGCGGGTAGAGGGGGGGTGGTCGTAGGCCCGTGGGGCCGCAGGGCGCACTGGCAGCACCGGGAGCTTTGCAGGAACTGTCAGCTAGGGTCTGCAAGGAATTACTTGCGGGTAGACTTACAGCAAAGGGCGGGACTGCGCTGCTGGGAGCCAGGGGCTGGCCTGGGGGAGGCACGGGGTTGGCTGCTGGCCCGAAGATCGGGTGCGGTGGCGGGGCTGAGGGGGGTGAAGGCGCTGGCGCGGGTGGTGGCGCCCCTGCTCCACAAGCCGGCAGAAAGCGACCAGAGGTGTCGCGGGGACGCCCACGAGAAGCTCGGCGGCGGCCAGACATTGATCGCGAAGGTGTTGGAATTGGAAAAATTGGAAAAATTTTGATTCTTGGGAAGTTCTTGAACCGACACCCGGACATTGTCAGGAACACTCTCTCTCTGTCATCTGGGTGGAAACACTTCGCGGATGGATGGAGATACTCACAGTTTGTGGAAATGAAAGCTGTTACAGAAAAAGAGAAAAGAAGATGGGGTTCCACGGACAGATCTGGGATATTTATACTACTCTAGACAGGTTTGTTTGCACTATGAGTGATCCTGTGGAACAGTCAGATAACTCTAGCAAACAAAGAGTGATTGTGAATCACAGGCCTGAATCTTTCTATGTAACTACAAAGGGTGATTGCAGGCCGCGGACATCTTGATTCTACAATTCTACAGAGTTGGTGAAAGAATGGAAAATTCCTTACAACTCTAGAGTGTAAAAGAATGATGATTCGCGAGAATGAGTGAAAGATCAACTCGCAAATGCTTCTCTTTGATGAGGGTGATCTCACAGGAAGTGATTCACCTACGGGATGAATAAGTGTGTCTGATAATTTCATGTTTTACAATCATTGAGTTTCTTGATTGTTTCTCCTTGTAATTGTTCTCAGTGATAGTGACAAATATCTCAGCTTGAGTTGAACTTTCACTCCATTCTCACCCCTGTCAATGGAATTGTCAGAATATCACATGTTATCAGTGCAACAGTTGAATATGTACTCTCAACAATTTTTCATAACTCTAGAATTGATTTGATGTGTAAATTTATCAGAATATCTTGTTGAAGATAGCAGTCAAATTCAGTTTTACAAGCATGTAGTTTTGCCTGATTTTCAGTTGCAATCAATGTATGCAAGTTCTGTTTCAAAGTTAGTATCATAGTTCTATGTGATATGAAGTGTTATCAAAGATCATTACTTACTAGAGAATTGTATTCCACTGTCTTCACATCTCTAACATCTGCTCATTCAAATCTCTGATAGTTGACATTGTAGTAGTCTCAGGCTAATTTAACATATGAGTCTCATTCCTCCTCTGTTCAATCTTGAGAAGTGTAGATGTTAACTCAATGAGAGAGATCTAGTAGAGCTGCTACAGCATAGTACTCTGTAAAAGATTGTTCAGTTTTGCTGTAGTAATATATCAGTTTATTTCTTACAGTAATAATAGCCTTCACTATAGCATTATCTCAGACTGAATTTCTTTTTGAGTGATTTAACTGCTTCTCAAGATAAGTAAATAAACTGTTATACACTCATCAGACTGACTGCAGCATTGATGTATAAGTGATTGAGACTATCTTTATTATCTTATAAAACTGAAACAGTAAATCAATCACATATTTCAACTGAGTTCACTTCATATCAGAAAGTGTCAATGTCTGAATCTTTTTCTGATCAGAGTGTTGTACTCAATGATCAATTATCTGATATAATCAAAGAGTCTGAACAGTTATCTTAAATATTGAACTTCATTATATTCTAATATTCTGTATCATATTCAGTGATGTGACTGATTTGTTTATTTGTTAAATATCATGAAATTATTGTTATTATTTAGAGAAGGTATAAATTGCATTAACAATGTTTTAAATCTGTGATATTTAAATTATTAGTCAATCTATTTAAAATTAACAGTAGTGTTATTAAAAAGCAATATTAAAAAGTGTTAATAAAAAACATTATCTTTTGTAAAGTAAATGCAAAAGTCTTAAGTAATCACTTTCATCTCATTCTCATCTCAAGAATCAGTCATCTTATTATTTTTTATCTCAATATTAAGATTCTTTATCAGTGTTTGCATCACAAGTTAAATCACATGAGCAATGCAGAAAATATGATCTTGTTTATTATTTCAGAAATGCAAAGTCAATTTTTGCTTCAAGCTCTTCATCATAGTGTAGTTATTCACAGTATTATCAGTTATAATTGTAAGAAGACTGAGACTAATATCTTAATAGTTATTTTTAATCACAGTTATTACTATCTCTGTTATATAATTCTCAGTATGACTACTGATCAATAATTCAAATTCAATTAATGTCTCTTAATAAGTTTAGTTCTTATCAATATAATAACATATAACTTCTATAAATACAAGATTATTTATACTAGTTCATACATTTACTGTGAGAGACACTCTTTGATAATTCTTCAACTTTGATTCTAGATATTATATATTAACTTTGTAGTATATTCTCAAGATTGAACTAAAGACAGAATCAATATGAAATATGAAGATTTGAATTAAGCATTTAAAGAAGTGTTCAGAATTCAGAGTTTTCAATTAATTGAAGAGAAAGATTCAGAGATATATATATACAAAGTAATTATTTACAGAAGTTATCAGATGAGAGTTATGAAATCAGAGTACTGATACATAATTGTTTTTACATGATTTTTTTCAAATTAAAAAGTTAGTATTATTAAAAATCATTATCTGATAGAGTAACTTATCAGCTCAGTAGTAATTTTCTGATTATTTTTCTTTTATTATCTGTATTCTGATGACTTCAGATGTCAGAAAATTTTTTCAGAGTTATAATTAGTTTATAATAAATACTTCTAAATAAAGTTATAGTAATTACAGCAGAGAGATAACACTTCAGTAATCTGTAATACAATCTGTTAATAATTATTTCATAGTTCATCTCAGTATTTATTTTGAGTTTTTCATAAATTTCATGACCTGAAATCAGATATGAAGAATAAAGTGATTATTTATTATAATTAAAAGAGAGTATTCTGTATTAAATTATAAATAACATAAACTTTATAATTCACAGTGATTTCTTAAAGAGTTTATGAATCTTTAATAGAAGTAAAAGAAGTGAAAGAAGTGAATTCAGAAGATATAATAATAATTTAAGAAAGATAATAATTTATTTTCAATAACTGATCACTGATATATATAAGAAGAATTAATATAAGAGAAAATAATCTTCTTTCTTAACTTAGTTATAATTTTAGTACTAACTCAGATTGAATATCATTAATGTATAAAAGTAAATAAATAATCTTGATTAATCTCTGTCATATTTCTTGAAATATATTAATATTGTCAAAGAGAGTATTATGAAATTATATTATTAGATAATATTATTAAAAATATATTACTATTATAAATATCAATATTGAAAAAATATTGATACTTATACATTATAGTGATATAATAGTTGAATATATATATATATATTATTTCTGACATTGATAATTGATTACAACTTATACAATAATTTTTGAAAACTTAAAATTAATTTCAATTATTAACTAATAGTTACAAACTTATACTAACTAATATAAAAAGAAAAAAACTTTTTCTACTTATTATCTTTCTTCTCTTTCTCATTTTTCTTATCATTTTTCATAATTCACTTCTTATTCTTATTCTTCTTCTTCTTCTTCTTATCTGAGATAATAATCATCTTAAAATCTCTCTCTGCTGTCTTCTTAGAGAAGAGTTTCTGCTACTTTCTCTTAGTCAGATTAATCTGTGTCTTAAAATCCTGCATTTTCTGATCTGCTGTCTCGGGTTCCACCTCAGTAGTCAGCAGATTGACATACTCAGAGAGTAGAACTGCCTTCTCAATATTCTGAATTATGAAGTGTATTCAAGATCTGAATAAGATCTTAATTCTCTTCTTCTCTGTCAGCTTCTACTAATTAATTAGAGAACAAAAGTATTATCAAAAATCATTATCTCTTAATAAAAACTTATCAGTTTTGACTTCTTTGTCTTCTGCTTTAATACCTTCTTAATCTTCTTCTATTACTGTTTATTTATAGTAACACTCTTCTTCTCTCTCTCTCTCTTCATCTTGATCTTAAATTATTCTCAGAACTTCTTCTAATCTTACTACTACTATATGAGACTCTTTACTATCTTCTTTTTCAATCTCTTATAAGCAGTGTCATTCACATTATTTCTATACTTAGTTCAGTCTAAATCTATCAGAAGTGTTACTTAAAATTGTTATTATTCTACTCTCTTACAGAGTCTCTTTAAGACATTATAACATGTCTTGTAATCTGTCTC